AAAAAAAAAATCAGTACCGAGTTTTAAGAAAATTAAAATGAATATTAATGCCTAATGGTTTTTTAAAAGAAATTATAATACTTTGAGCAGTCAGTGCTGGGGCTGATGGCATAAGGAATGTTGACACCACACTTGCCGGGGAGCCCAGCTGCAAGGCCGTAGTTGATACCAGTCATGGATTTGGCGGTGTTCTTCAAGCAGTTGCATGCGGCTTGGCGGTCAGCTGTGGTCTTGGCAGCGGCATTCAGAGATTGGACGCCGGAGCAGCAGCCTGAGGATAGAGCTCCGCTGCCTGTCAGGTAGCCGATGCATGGAGTGAGCCCGCTTATGACCTCATTGCAGGTTAGGGCCTGAGCTACGGGTGCGCTCACCACCATGGAGAGAAGCACGACACAAGCAAGCTTGAGGGTCAAGGCGGAAGCCATGGCTGGAATGTATGAACTAGTTTATGGAACACTTGAGAAGAGAAGAGAGTGATGATGAGAAGGCAATAATTCGTGTGGGTATTTATAGGAAAAACTGAGTATATGAAATTCAAGAGAGATGGGCCTACGTAGGTGGAGGAACTTAATTGGTTGGTAACCGAATTTATTTTTCGGTTTCTCTCATTCATCTCTTGTTTGTTTACGGTTGGGGATCTTTAATGCCAAAGTTTCTAGATTGGAGAGTTTTCTTTTTCTTTTTCTGTTTTTTTCTTTTTCTTTTTCTTTTTCTTTCGCTTTTTAGAGAGTTTCGGTATACAAAGGATGTTTTACCCCTACACATTTAAAGGAGTAATTAATATATTTTATTTTATTAATTAATATTACATAAATTATTTTAATTAAATAAAAGTTAATTATTATTTTTAATAATAATTAATATAAAAAATATACTCTTAACTTATATTTTAAAATTTAAAATATAAGTTAAAAGAATTGATAAAAAAATTAATGTTATATTAATGCAGACAACTTTTACTCACCTCTCTCGGTAGGGATGAAGCTAGAAAATTTAATCAGGGAGCAAAATGTTTCTTTCAGAAATTCAAATCTAATTTGGACTGATAAAAGACAAAAAATATAATTATAAATTTAATTATAATAAGTAAAAATATAATTAGATGTCAAAAAAAATTAAATTATTTTATACAATATTAATAATAAAAAAAAGCATACTACAGAAAACTTTAAATTTTAAATTTCTTTTACACTAAATAAAAAATTAAACTTTAACTAGATGGCATCAATCATGCCATGTTGCAGTTATAACCGTAGAGGTGCTGTGCTACCACACAGCGTTTTAGTACTCGACAATTACTTTAAAAAAATGCTATTCATTGAAAATTATTTAATTATACATATTATTGATTAAAATTAATTAATTAATTAATTTTTATTATGTACCGTACAGTAAGTTTAAAACTAAGGTTAAATCCCAATTTGGTCCCTAAACTATTGAATGAACCTCCAATTTGGTCTTAAACTAAAAAAATCCTTAATTTGGTTCCTGAATTATTGTATGGACCCTCAATTTGATCCCTTTGGTTTATTGATTTAGTTCAAAATTGGTCATTCCATACAAAAAATAATTGATATGTCTATTATTTAATGATGAAAAATAATTATTTAACAATTATGTGTCACGTTAGTAACGAGACATGTCAATTATTTTTTGTATAAAAGGATCAATTTGGAGCAAATCGGTAAATAGTAAAAACCAAATTAGGGGTTCGCACAATAATTCAGGGACCAAATCAAGGTTTTTTTAATTTAGGAATCAAAACGGGGTTTGTACAATTGTTTAGGGACCAAATTAGGAATTTAACCTAAAACTAATTAAACCAATGATAAATTCCTTAATTAAAGTTTGTGATGAATAAAAACACACATTCATAATAAATTGATGTTCTTGTGTAAATATTATAGTTGTTTAATAGAAAGTCTATATTACACAATATATGAGTGGAAAAGAAATATATATAATTTATAATGATATTTTAAAAATTTTATTAATTTTTAATAGGATAGCTTTGTATTGCTTTCCAAAAATATAGACCTGAATAATTTTCTAAGCACATAAGTTACAAAAGTATTGTAGCAGTGCATAAAAAGTGTTATAGGCACCATTGTTAAACAAAGTTTTTTTTTTCCCCTTTTCATTATTTAGCAGCAACACAATTTGATTGATTTTTCTGGTGTTCAAGGCAAAGGTCGGGAAATAAATGAATCAGAAAATTGCCGAAAACAAAAAGAAAAAATCAAAAAATTTATTATGCTCTTGGGATCTTGTTTTGTTGGCAAACCTTTTGATTTGTTATAGGCGGCTAGAAATTTTGGCCTTGATTGGAGACGCAATTGGTGGAGGCTGCACGGCAACTCGACGACGGTGGAAAATCTACTGTATTGCCATGGAGATCAATTGTGCGAATTTTCAACAAGCTTTCGGATCAAAGATGGATGTTTAAAAGTATTCATCTATTATTAGTTTCATTAGTTTCAAACTACAACATTGAGAAAAATGTACAGATAAAGATGCTAGTCTTATAATTTTTTTATTTAAAAATGTGAATTTTGTTAGTTTTTAATTAAGATAGTAAATTTTTAATTTTTT